CTGTCTTTGACAGCTTTTATCTGCAGCAATACGTTCTTCTCTGCTCCCAGGTGCTTAAAATTTTGGAAAATATATTCTGAGGATCCCTACTCGCTGTCACGGCTCTTTGCATTAGTGTATGCATGCGCCCAGAAGCACAAGCTGGAAAATAAGTAATAAAAAAAGAGTATTTCAACGAAATCATAAACTTAGATGAAGCTAGGATTTTGTCTACTAACATCATAACATCACTGGTTTGCCTATATGTATTAGAAGCTGCTGTATGTGGAGCATGCTAGGCACAAATCCTCTTTCCTATTTTTCTTTTAAGTTCCTTTCTGATTTTGGAGCATCACACCTTTTCTCAAGAACAGCTTGAATATCATTTGTCTAATAAGTACCATTCTTTTCTTTGAACATACAAACTCAATAGCCTTTAAGAGGCACATACTATCATTTTCTTAAAATTCAATAAGATGTTCTGTATATGTTTAAAATGTGCAATTAGAACTCTATTTTCATGTACATTTATTCATTCTTCAAAGGAAAAAGAAAATTAGTGGATTTAAAATATTCTATATCAGAAGCTGTGACTCACCAAACCCTTTGAAGATATTGCATTTTTGGCTTTAGCAAGTGTTACATGATGCTCTGTGTTAGATTCTTTGGCAATATTATTCCCTGTTTCGATTGCTTTTTTGCTTTTATATCTTTTTTGAGGATTCTGATATCATATTGGGGATGTAGATAGATGGAGGTTTCAGAGACAAACCTGGGAAGGGTAGAGACCACTACCATACGTGTTACTGTTTAAGTGGTCTTTCAATTGCTCAGTATAGCTGGACCAACGAAGCTGATGCTCCACCATTACCCAAGGATGTATTTGGTCCTTATTCTCAAAATCTCTTGGAACAGATTCACCCACTGTACAACATAGTGTTGGATCGGTATTATGAAGCTCGCAGGTTCTTCTCATGCTTGTGAGAATATTTCACTCGGTAGGTTTAGCTGGAATTGTGCCACTAGCTGTTCAGAAACAGAGACAATCAAGACTTTAGAGGCATTGGATTCAGAATGGCTGTGATCAATTATGTATAAAATTTTATTTTTTGCTTATGTATACATGGTTTGAGTTGAAAGTACTGAGTTCGGTTGAACCTGCTGAACCATCTCTAGATCCGCCTATAAATTGGAAACTCACTAAAATTATTAGCTTGGAATTGCATATGCATGTTAAGTGGCTATGATCTACGAAGCTGGAAGCTGGTGATTAGTGATCTTAAATTTCATTTTTGGAAAGCAATCATCTGTCACTTGTTATCCGGCTGCAACTTTTCTCGGAGAGAATTTTATAATTGCAACTTCTATTTGCTATGTTAATTACACAAATTGTGCACTACATTGCCTGTAATCTGCGGTCGTTTGTTTTAAGATTCTGAGTAGACCAAATTGGCAATCTCTATCATAAGTAATAGAGAAAAACGCCACGTGTGTTCTCTTTGTAGTGTACTACCTTAATTTTAGGTGCTGGGATAGTGAGATTAGTAGTAGTAGTGAGGGTGAGTTGGACATTAAACTAGTTCTTTAAAGGAACTTTTACCTCCTATAGCAAAGGTATATGTCATATTTATTATAAATCAAAATCATTTTAAAATATTATTTTTTATAGCTACTTTTTATATTTTATAGTAAAATAAGTATTTATGGTATATACTATCATTGATGCATGAAATAAGGCATGAAATATGCTTTTATGTTTTTCCTATCTCTTAGACAGCTGGACATACCTATTTTTAAGGTGATTTTCGTTACTGTATTCATAAATACATGGCGCGAGTACATGTGATTACATGTGCATACAGCTGGACTGTCCTGATTTTAGGCATTTTTATTGTTGTATTCATGAATACAACAACACGTATACATGTGAATACATGCGCGTACAGCTGGACTGTCTGATTTTAGGCGCTTTTTACTGCTGTATTCATGAATACATCGCGCGAATATATGTGAATACATGCGCGTATAGCTGAACGGCGATGATTTTAGGCGCTTTTTACTGTTGTATTCATGAATATAGCAGCACGAATACATGTGAATACATGCGCGTACAATTGGATTGCCCTGATTTTAGGCGCTTTTTGCTGCTGTATTCATGAATACAGCTTCGCGAATACAACAAATACACTACCGTAACAACTGAATAGTAGCTATAGGAAGTAATTATGTATATGGTAGCTATAAGAAGTTAATAATCACTAAACAACAGTGGTTTCTGAAAATTTCTCATTTTTAAAGGTAAAAATCTTGTATTATCCGGTAACTCCAGAAAACTACAAGGCAAATTCCTCATTGTCAACTTGTAATCTTTTTAAAGTAACTAACTGGAGAAATCAATTAACTGGAGAACGGCAGCAATTGAAAATTGTATTATATTTGTCTTTCACGGGACTTCTCAATTTATATATTTCATTTATTTGGCTTGATTAAATAAGCTAATGTAGTACTTAGCTTTGGATGGGCAGGATATAACCGCAACTACTCGCATCATTTAGCGAGCTATCTGTCCCCTTTTTTGGAGAAAAAAAAACAGAAAGAACGAAGAAAAGCACAGTTTCTTGTTTATAAGTCGTATTCGTCTGTTGATATTTGTAAGTTGCATTTCTCAGTTACAATTTGTAAGTCGCATTTGTGTATTGTGATTATATTAGGAATGCGTCTCTTTTGCGTATGTTAATATTTAGTAATTACTATTATTATTGATATTCTTAGTAAATGGGAGGTATGACCAAGATTCATATAGTTGACTCTGATTCAAACTTGCTTTGTTGAGGCGTAATAGTAAATATTCGTATTTTATAATAATAGTATTAATGAGTCGAGCAATTATGATATTTTAACCTTTTCTTTTTTTTTCGTACAAAGTTGCGATTATAATGGAGTGGTACTTTCATATCCTTTCTAGATATATCATTCTTTTTTTGAAAGATGGCCCTATTTCATGTTATTTCTGACTAGGAGAAATCGAGAATACTAGACACGTGAATACAATATAGTATTAAGCAGTCCTTAAGGAGGAACAGTCTTTCCCAATTTCAGACGTAGAAAACGAAACCGCCAAAACCATCATTATCGCCGCGACCTCATCTTTCAACTCCCATTTCCCATTCATTATTTACTTTCCGTTTCAACCCATTTTCAATCCCTTTGTATCACAGTTTCTTCAATATGGAATTGAATCACACCAATAACAAGCAGACTCTGCAAGCTGCAATGGAGAATGAAAATCATCACTGCCTCTCCGATTCAGATTCTACTGACTCTGAAACAGATAAAGCTATTAAATACTCTTCTCCAGCTCGTTTTCATAGTACCGATTATGATTCAGATGATTCTACTAAGTCCGACGCAGATAAAGCTAGCAATATTAATACTAATACTGCTGCTGCTGCTCATACTACTGTTAATAGAGATTCTACTAAGGTATCTTCCCCGCCGGTGGAATCTCCGGCGAGGTCATCGATTTCCTCCGATCAAATATCTCTTCCTCACGAGTCGTTCCATCCAGAGGATAATAAACCTTCTGCAGCTCCGACGAGGAGTCCGCCGGAGAAACCTCCGTTACCGGAAGTAGTGGTGAAACTGTCTATCAAAGAGGAGCCACTGGCTATAGTGAAAGCGGATCTGGTGGTCAGTGATGGTACTACTATTGGGGAAGGTGGCGACGGAGGCGGGGGCAACCGGCGGAGGAAAGTAAGGCCGCCGTTTTCGATTTTAAGAAAGGCGAAGAGGGATGAAATGGTAAAGAAAGCGGCTTTAGGTTTTAGGATTTTTGGGTTTTTGTTTTGCTTGGTTTCGTTTTCTGTACTGGCAGCTGATAGGAATCAAGGTTGGGCTCTGGACTCTTTCGAACGTTACAAGGAGTTCAGGTTTGTCACTTATTTTCTCTTTAAATTGATTAATTTAATTCCTTAGCTCATTGAGTTCTTACGAATGATAATATTGGTCGGTGAATTTGCATTGGCAGGTACTCTATGTCAGTGAACGTTATAGGATTTGTGTATTCGGGAGCTCAGGCATTCAATTTGGCCTACCAATCTGCCACAGGCAAGAACGTCGTGCAGCACCATTTGCGCTACTTTTTTGATTTTGCCCTTGATCAGGCAAGTTGGTTCAGCCCAAAGCACTAAGGATTTTTGTTATATACATTGACATTGTGATATTCTTGTATTATCGGTATAATTTAACATGTTATTATAGTTTACTTATCATTATCTATGGAACCTTTTAAAACCTGATTGTGTAAATATTTTTCACGCCATTAGTGCATAGAATTTAAACTCTAACACGAATACATTCTTTCGCTCCCGCCTCTCTGGGACATGTGGTGTCTATTCTAAAATAATGAATACAAGACATGCCTTTATGTACGCATGTTTCATGGTCAAGTGGGTACAATGACTAACTACTATAATGGTTTTAAGCTTTAAAAACTTCTCTGACTTTTTTTTTTTGCGGTAATGGGAACTATGACTTTTATGAAGTATGATATTGCGAGCCTTGATTGAGAGGAAAAATTCGTTAATGGTGGTGATGGATTTGCACTAGCCTGGTGTGAGACTGTTCTAGCTGTCCGCCTCTTTGTAAAATGAATAGGAAAGGGGATCATATACCCCATAAAAAATGTTTATTTGTCATAGAGTTGCCTCAATTTGTTTTTTTTGATAACTGGAAAGTAATCTTAAAAGAGTTCACTGAAAAATATTCCCACAGGGTTGGAGGAATTTTTCCTTTGTGAGATCATCTGGGTGCCTATTAATTGCTAGCTTTCATTGGCTGGAAAATTCTAACAGGTCTATCCAACTGTAGAATCACCTTTCTTTTTTGTGGCATCTCATTCTGAGCCCTGTATTATTTGCCATATACTTTACTACCCCTCTGCTTTATGCCTAAGAATAATTCCTTTTCTGTTTTCATTTATCTTGAGGAGAAATTTCTTCCATTAACCAATATTGACCCCTTATTAAAAATAAACAAATAGATAGTATATTACTCCCTCCGTTTCAATTTATGTGAACTTATTTCCTTTTTAGTCCGTGTCAAAAAGAATGACTACTTTCCTTATTTGGAAACAATTTACCTTTATGCAATGATTTATAGCCACACAAAATATGTGTCTCATTTTACACCACAAGTTCAAAAGTCTCCTTTCTTTTCTTAAACTCCGTGCCCGATCAAATGAGTTCACATAAATTGAAACAGAGGGAGTATTAGATTAATGACATCCCTCTCTGAAAGGCCACCTTTTGAAAGCAGAAACCCGTGAAAGAGGGTGTTTATATCCGTTTCTTTTTCCCACCTTAATAGGTCCCAAAGTCTTAATCTAAGAGTGACTAAGCTTGTTTGCATACTCTGCACTAGCAGATTGAGTCTATAGGCTTTGTTTTGTGTGCCCTCTAAATTTCGAAAGGCTACTAAAATTACTAGAACTCTGCTATCGGCTAACTTAATCTGTACAAAACTAAAAGGAATAACACACAGTAGAGATTGGAAAGAGGACAGGTGATAGTTTTTAAACCTTCAGAACCTTCTTTTCTGTTAGGTGCCTTTGTGGATTGGTAGTTCTATTGGGCGCTAAATAGATCTTTAAAATATTTTAACTTATTGAGGTTTGCTGTTTCTTTTGTTGGGTTTTCAAGTGAGATCCTTTGGCAGTTTTTATCTTTCCATCCTTTTTTCGTTATTTGTTTACGAATAGCTAGTTTATTTAGTCGTACTCAGTGAATACTTCAGGTTGAGTGAATCTAATTCTAAGAACCAATATTTAACAGTTAAAAGGTTATTTTTTTATGTTGTGGATTGACAAACTTACCTGCACCTGGGCATGCACCAAAGCAATACATGCATGATAAGATTAATTTGATCTTCAAAAAGAAGCAATAAACTATCACTTTTATATAAAACGTATATACTTTTTATATTTTAGAGTGGACTTGGACATTTGTTGATTAGCCATGAGATGGACTTAGAAAATGCATACTTCAGCTCTAGTTAGCAGCTAAGTTGCTCGGACACGGGTGCGGATCTAAAGGTCGGATCCTTCAAGATGTAAATTCTAAGATTCGGGGATACGGATCCTAGTAAAACAGGTGCGGGGATCCGGCTACAAATAATTCAAAAAACTAAAAATATAAAAATATCTCTAAATTATGAGAAATTTGTAGAATGTGGATTTCTTTTTTATTCTCAAGATGCAGATAGGTAAATGATTGATTTCCTAGATAAGGTATGCTACTTTCTTCAAATTTATCCTAGTTTTGGTTATGATTTCGGGAATCAAATTGTATCTCGTTTCGAATTTTCCCGTCTGTCGTGGTCAAAGTACCCAAAATTGTTTGACCAGATCCGGTACGGATCCCATATCCACACCCACACCGGTGTCATGTCGACACGGGTGAGGCACCTAAATCTTCCATAACTGATCAGTTATCCTACAGTGCAAAAATAGGTGACCAACTGTTTCCACTTCATTTTCTCAAAGAAAACATCTTGAGCATAGAGTCCACTTCCTCTTGTTTTGAGTTTTCATGTGTGAGCACAACTTCCTTTTGCCAGTAGCCATGAGAAGCATGCAACCTTATATGGTATCTTGGTCTTCCAAATATGTTTCCAGTGCTAGTTGGTGACTTGAGGTATTGGTTGGTTTATCGTTTTGTAGGCTGCATTGACACTGAATTTTCCACTACGATGTCCCTGCCATCTCAATGTGTCGTCTTCATTCTGAATTCCTGTGAAGTTGTCCAGTTGTTTGTAGAACACAATCATTCTATTTATCTTCCAATCATTCAAGTCTCTTATGAGTATTAGTTCCCAACCTTGAGGTGACCACATTTCAGCTATAGATCTCTGTTGGTGATGAGCTAGAGCATATATGTCAAAGAATAAATCATTCAGAGCTCCATTCCCCAGCCAATTATCATTCCAGAAGGATGTCCTGCTACTATTTAGCACTTTAATAGAGACTTGATTTTTTAGAGCTGGCCATAATACCCTTATAGACCTCCAAAGACTAACTCCATAAGCTATGTTAACTGGTTTAGTCATCCAGTTGTCTTCTACTTCATATTTGGCTTTACTTACCTTGCTTCATAAACTTTGAGGGTCTTGAGAGTACCTCCATAACCACTTTAGTTTGAGGTCTTTGCTGTGATTCTGTTAAAATTTACTGTTTTTCTATATGACAGATGGTAACATATCTTCTGATATCAGCATCATCTTCTGCTGCCACTCGCATTGATGATTGGCAGTCCAATTGGGGGAAGGACAAGTTTCCTGATATGGCAAGCGCCTCCGTAGCAATGTCCTTCCTTGCATTTGCAGCTTTGGCCTTCAGCTCCCTCATATCTGGCTATGTACTATGCAATTCTAGATCAACATAGTCATGTGCTATGTTTTGGTCTTTATCATACTTTAAAGTTTAATGCAATTGTATGATATGAAAAATCAGTTGCAGGTTGTTCAGGTGAGTATATACTGAGGTATTCTTGAGTTAATAGTGTTGTAATGCTCCTTGTACAAGCTTTAGAATGATGTTATATGTGTTGCGCAGTTTTATGCTCTTGTTAGTGAGATCTAATTATGGGACAGACTAGATGCAGTGCAACTTGTGTAAAAGTTATCGGTTATTGTTGTCTGGTTTTTTCTAAGGCCTTTGGAATACGTAGGCCAGTGACCTTTCGAGAATCACATCTTCATGAAGTACCATGACGATATTTTTTCTGGAGAACACAATTTTGTGCTTGTTTTTCTTTGTAGTTTCTGGTAGAGCGCAATCTGGTAATTTCCTAGATATACACACATATTTGGAAATTCAAACTTATTATGCTGTCTTAATACTTGTATATATCATCTTTCTATATTCTCTGAATTAACTCAAGTGGAGCTAATTTTGCCATAAATGATTAAAGAAAAGAAAGGACTAGGGGTGTTCCACATTCACACTGCGAGATGAAAGTAACAAACCTTATGCCAACTGCCGTCTGGACTGATGATAATGATACTTAACCTGCTCCTGTCCCATCTCTAAGCTGTTAACTAAGAGTCCAGAACCCATTTGTGGTTCTTTTTGACAAAAAGAACGGAAATGCATGTAAAAAAAAAAAAAGTTACCTAACTATGTATAACGCTCTTTTAAAGAGCGCTATACCTTAACGGACTCTTAACGGAAATGTTTTGGACGTTAAGGTATAACGCTCTTTAAAAGAGCGTTATACATATAACGCCTTTAGAAACAACGCTATATATGTATAGCGCAGTTATAAAGTGCGCTATACATGTTTTGTGGGCCCACCAATAAGTCTCATGCGTTTAACTGACATAACAATAATTCAAATGGGTATAGCGCCCTTTAAAAGAGCGCTATACCTAAATAAATTCAGCCCCCCGAGCTAGGCATTGCCTTATTTAAAGGCGTTAGGATTTAACAAAAATCCATTCAAAAATATTTCTAACTCCCGTTCAATTTTTTCTTCTTGTTAAATTCTCA